GAATGTGTCCAGAAAAAACAAGGTACCACTGACTCACACCCCAGAAACCAGTCCCGTGGGACAGGTGGTGGTGAGGAAGGAAAGAGTTTTATTCAGGTGCAGGCAACCTGAGAAGATGGGGGAAGCTGGTCCCAAAACCCATCTGCACATCTCAGTGCAGGCAGAGGCTTTTATAAGGAGGGAGAGGCCAAACAGAGCAAAGAGGTCAGGGGGCGGGTCTTGAAAAGGTCTCTACGTGCCGACAGGCACAGTCCAATCTGATAAGGATCTTGAAGGGGTCAGGTGCCGGTCCAGTGTGCATCAGCCTAGACTTTGTCCTCCTGATTCTAAGGTTGAAAGTAATCAAATCTCCCAGAACTAGAAAGGTCACAGTTCATATCTTGTAAAATTAGTTCCTAGGATTCTTATACAAACATACTGTTTATCTACATGATTCATTTTTAGTCATAGTCTGCCTTTACAAGAACAATGTGGAAAGAATGGTGAGGTGAGTTGTAATTCCCATGAATTACATGAATTCATGTAATTTTTGTGATATGAATGCTGAGATGCTTCATTGTTCTTCAAGGAGCCTATCCATGATTCTCTCATCATTCATGTTTCTAACTTTCTCCCTCTCCCTTCCTCTCTGAAATCATTGAAAATATATTAGAAAAAAAAAGGCCGATACTCTATCCCCTGAGCCAAACCAGTTCGGGCGCTAGGTCGTCTTTAACCGACTACCCACCTGGTATGTTAAACCAAAAAAAATATATACTATTTGCAAACAATGTGCATTTAATCTGAATGCAACATTTCCTTAATATTTTTTTAAATGTTTTTATTGACACAGAGAGGAAGGAAAAGCAAGAGGGAGAGAAACATCCATGATGAGAGAGAATCACGGATCGGCCGCCTGCCACACGCCCCCTACTGGCGAACGAGCCCGCAACCTGGGTATGTGGCCTTGACCAGGAATGGAACCATGACCTCCTGGTTGATAGGTTGACACTCAGCCACTGAACCACGCCTGCTGGGCCAGAAGTACAATATTTTGAATATGAGAAACACACCTTAGAAACATGTCCCTCACGCTCCCAGTCCTCAGCCTTACAGGTCTCAATGTGCATTTTCAAACACTTTCCTGCAAGAGGATAATTTAATCAGCAGTCAGTGATCATTTTAATGCAAAAAACGGATGCCCTGAAATTGATTTCTGGTGCTCCCTCTGACTCCCCCTCCTGCCGCCTCTCTCTGATGCGATGCTAGATGAATTTTATGATCACTGGGCTTTGCTTGGGGCTGTTTAGTGCTGAATACAACTGAAAACCCAAATGTAGCCAGCGCTAAATACTAAAGCCATACAAAGAGCCGGCTCAATCATTCAGGAGACGTGCCCTGGCATCCCTCGTAATACCTCAAAGGAAAGAGATGATCAGCATAAAAGACCCATAATCCCCCAACATTTGTTCTTTTCTTGGAGAGGGTAGTATTGGTTGACGAACCTCAGGAGATCAAACAATGAGAACGCTCATCATTGAAATGAAAACTATTTCCAGTGATGTCTTCGAGCCTTGTCTACCGGGGCTGGGCTAATATATTCAGGCTTAAGGTCTTTTTCTTTGTCTTTCTCTGTTTAATATATTTTTACTAGAGGCCTGGTGCACGAATTCGTGCACCAGTGTGGTGCCTTGGCCTGGCCTGCGGGGATCGGCCGAAACTGGCTCTCTGACATCCCCTGAGGGTTCCCAGATTACGAGAGGCCACAGGCCAGGCAAAGGGACAACATTGGTGCACCATTAGATCTGGGGAAGGACACGGGAGGTTGGCCAACAGGGGAGGGACCAAGGGAGGGCTCCAGGGTGTGTCCAGCATGTCTCACTCAGTCCCTATCAGCAAGACCCCAGCAGCAAGCTGACCTACAAGTCTGAATGTCTTCTCCCTGATGGTCAATGCATGTCATAGTGAGCTGTTGAGGAACCTTAGTATATCATTTGCATATTATGCATTGATTGGTTGAACAGATGACCCGTTGACTGGACACTTAGCATATTAGGCTTTTATTATATAGAATTGATTTCATACAGGAAGGGAGCGAGAAACATCAATGATGAGAGAGAATCATACATCGGGAGCCTCCTACATGCCCCCTACTGGGGATTGAGCCCACAACCAAAGCATGTGCCCTTGACCAGAATCGAACCTGGGACCTTCCATAGTCCACAGTCCAACCCTCCATCCACTGAGCCAAACAAACTAGGGCTCATTGGTTAATTCTTTTCTAAGCCCTGACTAGGAATTGAACCGTGATCTCCAGGTTCATAGGTCGTCCCTCAACCACTGAGAAACACCAGCTTGGCTTAAAATGCTTTTATTGATTTGAGAGAGAGGGGGGAGAGACAGAGACAGACAGGGAGACAAAGAGACAGAGAGAGAGAGAAAAAGGAGGAAGAAGAAGAAGAACAACAAGAAGAACAAGAAGAAGAACAAGAAGAGAGAGACAGAGAGAGAGAGAGAGAGAGAGAGAGAGAGAGATCAATGTGCCCTTGCAACCAGGGGGTGGCAGATAGAACAGCAAAGTTTATTAAAAAGGTCAACAGAACTATACACGTCCCACCAGCAGGCCAGCAGAGCAGGACTGGGGCTTAGGTTGACAAGGGCCAGGGACCCCATCACATGTCCTAGGAGTTGTTTATCAGCTCAAGCATCATTTCCTCCACTCCATCCTCCTTGACGTGGTGGACGATGCGCCAGAACCGTCTCATGGAATCCACGTACCGGTTGCCAAGCTGGAGCGTCCACCACGAAGGCATGTTGGTCGATGTCTGTGGGCTGGTGGTGAGTGTGATATGCCCACTGGGGATGTCTTTCTGGAGCAACCGTACTTGCAGGACACCTCCTGTCTCCATGACAAGATGCAGCCACGTGCGCTGCTTATCGTCCTTGTACACCGAGGGCCCACGGATCCTCAGGGAGATGGGGTGCAAGATGAGGTGCACCTTCGACGGGAGCTCGGCCATGACCCCTCCGTGGTCCAAGTAGCAACAGCCACAGCTTCTCAGAGCCTCTCGCTACTTTGGTCCTGGAATCGAAAGACAGGGGATCGGATCTCCAAACGCATTTTACCTTGGCTTTTATCTTAATGGTTTTTATGGTTGTGTTTGTGGTTGCCTTTGGTTTATTTTGCAAATTTATAAATCTCAACTTTTCTTTCTTTTTAGTTTTAGATCTCTCTTCTCGAACACCGTGTACAAAATGTACTTAATGTAAAATATGACTCTATGAATGTAACATGGTTCTATGGAATTTTTAAACACTTTTTATAATGACAGTTGACATAGAACATTAGGTTCATTTCAGGGGTACCCCCAATGATAAGACATTATATAATGGACTAAGAAATCATGCAATTAATGTCATACCCATCTGACATCATACACTGTTATTATAATAGTACTAGAGGCTCAGTGCTCAAAATTTATGCACTTAGTGGAGTCCCACAGCCAACCCTGCTGCCTCTCCCAGTCCGGGACCCCTTGAGGAATGTCCTTTTTTTTGATTAGGCCCGCTTCAGTGCTGCCTTGGAGGCTCCCACTACCCTCCTGTGCTCAGCAGGTGTGAGCCTGACATTTGGCTGAGTGGTGCTCCCCCTTTGGGAGCGCACTGACCACCAGTGGACAGCTCCTGCCATGAGTATCAGCCCCCGGTGGTCAGTGCGTGTCATAGCTACCAGTCGTTCTGCCATTTGGTCGATTTGCATATTAGCCTTTTATTATATAGGATTGACTCAATGCTCTACTTTACTGTGCCATGACTATACTTTCGTTTTTTTCATATAGTTTTACTGATTTCAGAGAGGAAGGGAGAGGGAGAGAAAGAGAAAGATCAATGATGACAGAGAATCATGGATTGGTTGCCTCCTGCATGCGCCCTACTGGGGATCAAGACTGTAACCCGGGCATGTGCCATGACTGGGAATCAAATCCACATCTCCTGGTTCCTAGGTTTAAGCTAAATAACTAAGACATGCCAGCCGGGCTCTTTTCATTTCTTTTCCTTTCTTTCCTTTACTTTTCTTTTTCTTTCATTTTCTTTTTTTCTTAATTAAATCTTTGTAGTTGGTTCAACTTTTCTTTTTGTCCTGACAACACCACCTGCTTTCTGATCATCTCAGAGGGAACTCACAAACCATAGAACTACCCACCCCGTGCATATAATATGCTTTACCTTTACCACCTGTCAGAGAAACAAGGCTAATGTTTGCATCCAGGTGGGCTTCTTAACAGTGGTCTTGCTTCTCAAGTGCTGTTGAGAGAGGCAAGACCATAATAATCAGGGAGAGACAGACTCCTGGGATAGCTTGTCGGGAAAACAGGAAGCAGAGTGACAGGTGAAACAGCACGTAGGATTCCTGAGGTCTCATGACATCACTTATAGAATGATCTCTCCATTCCCCAAACCTCAGCCATGCTCTTGGCAAGAGCTGTATGGTTTTGCTGCTAAACTCACTTCAGTCCA